CTCCTTGCTCAATTTCCAAGTGGTGACTATGAACCAGTGAATGAAGAAGTAAGAGGAGAGGTGCATGCAGCTATGGCTTCCGAGGAAAGCTTTTGGACATTGAGCTTTGACGGAGCAACAGCCGGAGGTAAAAGAGGAACCGGGATAGTCCTTACAAGTAAAAGTGGGGAAAAGTTTTATTTATCTTATAAACTGGATTTCCATTGTTCGAATAACGAAGCCGAGTATGAGGCTCTTATTTTAGGCTTGATAGCAGCTGAGAAGCACAGTATCAAGAAGATTCGGATCTGGGGGGACTCAAAGCTGATAGTGAAATTCAGGCTACAGAAAGGCCTTTCGAGATCCATGAAGCTCATTATTCTGATGCCATCTACTTCACCGAACTGGCTGTCGAAGAAGTTCCCACCACCTCTAAGCCTCGAGGTGTCAAAATTCCTCGTTGGGAGGATATCAAAGATGACAAGGAGCCGGTGGCAGAGTCAAGTAAGCGGGCAATGTCTAGAACAGAAAGTCCGCCTATTCCTCGGAACGGATCTCTAGGCTTGCTTAATACCCTTTCGAGTCCGAGCCCGAGTAAGTCTCTAGGTTCGTGGATCCGAATCCTTTCGAGGCTTAGAGCCATTCAGCCCGTTTGACGGCGATAAATCCAAGCCCACCAATCTTGGACTTGCGATAAATTCGGGCCCACTAATCTTGGGCTATTGGGCCTAAATAATTTAGTGGGCTTAAATTAGCTCCTCTTACATTTGCCCCTTGCGTGTGCGAGAAATTATAATTTTCTCGGACATGCATACTGTCATTTCTTCAACCCTGCTTCGCATCACGTTCCCCAAAAAAAAAACATGTTGTCACGACAGAGCCTATGGATAAAGTTGATGACGCACTTCAATTTACAAAAAAAATTAACAAGCAAAAATTTTATTTTTTTGTACTCTTTTTTTTTTTTTTTGGGCAAGTCAGCACACTCATCACGTGTATACACAGTGTATAGAATATATGACGGAATAGGAATATTCAAGGAATAATTCCCCATTTTATTTCTATTTAAAGAAAGGCCCAAAACCCTAATCCTCACAAACTTTTGCTCAGCCGCCAAACCCATTTTCTCAGTCTATTCTCTCTATCTAGATCGGGAGGCTAGCCTTCTTCTTCAACAAACCAGCGCTGCTTACTTTGTCTAAAAGTTGTATTTCCC